TGTGTGATCCAGTTCTATATCTCCCACTGGTTGGGGGCAACTGAATGTGTCCTTCTGGCTGTCATGTCCTACGATCGCTATGCTGCCATCTGCAGGCCACTCCACTACACCGTCATCATGCATCCGAAGCTTTGCTGCAGCCTGGCTTTTGCCTCGTGGCTTGGGGGTCTGACCACCAGCATGGTAGGTTCCACACTCACCATGCTCCTGCCTCTCTGTGGGAACAATTTCATTGACCACCTTTTCCTGTGAGATGCCCCTCATTATGCAACTGGCTTGTGTGGATACCAGCTTCAATGAAGTAGAGATGTACGTGGCCAGCTTTATCTTTGTTGTCTTGCCTCTGGGTCTCATCCTGGTCTCATACAGCCGTATTGCCTGGGCTGTGTTGAAGATCAGGTCAGCAGAAGGGTGGAGAAAGGCACTCAATACCTGCTCGTCCCATGTGGCAGTGGTGGCTCTGTTTTACGGGAGCATCATTTTCATGTATCTCCAGCCTGCCAAGAGAAGCTCTCATGAGCAAGGTAAGTTTGTAGCCCTCTTCTACACTGTGGTCACCCCAATGCTGAACCCCCTGATTTACACGCTAAGGAACAAGACTGTGAAGAAGGCACTTAGGCACATTGTATTAGAGAACTGTGGTTTTGGAGGGTTACATATATTTAAAAGCTTATCACTTGTGAGGAGGAAGCAGATTTAAAGGGATCAAAATTGATTTGGAGTGTCAGGATATTTGGGATATCATTTCTATACACTATTTCTTAAGTTCAAAGTAACTGACAAACAAATGGACGTACTTACATATTTTTTTCAGGCCAGTGCAAAGAGAACTTATTTCCCATTTTATTTTTTATTAATAAGTATATTTTGCTAATTATTTAAATAGCTTTGTATGGGTTATATTCATGCTACTTATGATACTGTATATTGTTTACGTAGCTACAAATGCTAATTGTTAAATGATTTTGTTAATATTTTAAAGCAATGTCTGTCACTAAGGGTGTCTAATATGTGTGAAATCCTTTACTTTTTTCTCCCCTAATATTTGTAATGACTCAGTGAGGTAGATATTATTGACCTCACAAAGGTTAAATAATTACAAAATTATCAAGATTTTATTCTGAGATGTAAGTCTATTCTTTGTATCCTGGACATCTATGCTATTTTGGCTATAGTCTCTTGTGATGTAATAAGAAATATATACTTTTTTTTTTTTTTTGTCCTGACTTCTGGCACTGAGCATCTAGGACCCTTGAAATTTTCTGAGGGATATGGATGAGAAGGTATCTTTTATTTTCATAACAAGCACATTTCAACATACCTAAGTTTATGCCAATGAATTAACTCAAAGAAGAGTCTCTAGATAGCTTCCAGAGGATGCCTGGATACCAGAGGAATTGACCCTGTGGTTAGAAGTTTGTAACTTTCAGTCCCAGCCCAATGTCTGGGAAGGAGTTATGGAAATTAAGTCATTAATGGCCAATAACTTAATGAACCATGCCTATGCAATGAACCTCCACAAAAATTTTAAACAACAGTGTTTGGAGACTTCCAGTTGGTGACTGCATCTATGTGACAAGAAGGTAGGGTGTCCTAAACTCTACTAAGACAGAAGTTCCTGTGCTCAAGTCCTTTCCAAACTTCATCCCATGTATCTCTTCTTTTATATTATTTGTAATAAACCAGTACACTAAAGTGTTTCCCTAAGTTATGTGAGTCATTCTTGCAAATCCTAAATCTAAAGAAGGGGTTATGGCAACTCTATAGTTAGTTGGTCATAGACATGGGTGGCAACCTGGAGCTTGCAACTGCCTTCTAAACTGGGGGTGGTCTTGTGGAGGACTTTGTTCTTAAATTGGCAGGATCTGGTACTAGATTTATGTAGTTACTGTCAGAGTTAAATTGAATTATAGGATGCCCAGTTGGTGTTTGGAGAGTTAGAATATTGGTTATTGTTGTGAAAAAAATCTCACACATTCGGTGTCAGAAAAGATGTGAGCAAAATACAATTCATGTACTTTCAGGAGGAGGAAACTAAAGAGGCAAATGCCTCAAAAGTAGAATTTTGAGTTGAATTTTCAGCAAATTGGAGATTTCGTCAATAACATGCTGCACAGGTACATCTGTAACTATAGGAAGATCAGTTTCCCTATTCAAGTCTACATATTCTGTTTACAGGATATGTAAAGATATTTTTATTCACTGAGTACTATTCATATGTCCAAGAATGATTTCTGGAAGTTATGAAAACTAGCACACAAAGTTGCACTTAAAAAAGTGAATTAAGTTCAAGAGCAATCACTGGACTTGTTGATTTAAAACTCAAGATCATGTTGTAAAGTTAATAATATTTACATTTTTGAGATGGGAAAATTCTGATCAGAGAAAAAATTTGATCATAAAGAAAAAAATAGCATTCATGTTTTCCTTTCAAACATATTAAGTGGGTGTACCACAAACTCATTTACTTTAAGCAATATTTTGAAAGGTTTTTCTGGACTTTTTTTGGCCAAAACCCTGTCTATAGAAATTTTGCCCCCACTTTTTGAATTCAACACCTCCCAAAAAAATAAAAATAAAATAAAATAAAAAATAAACACCTCCCTAAATGTCACAAATTGACTCTCAGACTGCTCATTTGAATAATACCAACAGATATTGGTAGATTTGGATCTTGAATAAAGTAAAAGTAAATAGAGTATTGAGATTGATAACTTATCAACACCATCAACTGTTAATTACTTAGTTTATTTCTTTTTTAAACTTTTTTATTGGGATATAGTTGCCTTACAACGCTGTGTTTGTTTCTTGAAGTAAAGCTACGACAAACCTAGAGAGCATATAAAAAGCAAAGACGTCACTTTGTGGACAAAGGTCTGAGCTTAAACAAAGGTCTAGGCTATGGTTTTTTCAGTAGTAATGTATGGATGTTAGAGTAGGACCATAAAGAAGACTAAGCACTGAAGAACTGATGCTTTTGAACTGGTGTTGGGGAAGACTCTTGAGATTTCCTTGGACAACAAGGAGATCAAACCCCTTCATTCTAAAGGAAATCAACCCTGAATATTCACTGAAAGGACTGATGCTGCCATTGAAGCTCCAATACTTTGATCACCTGATGCAAAGAGCCGGCTCATTGGAAAAGACCCTGATGCTGGGAAAGATTGAAGGTAAAAAGAAAAGAGGGTGGCAGAGGATGAGATGGTTAGATAGCATCACTGACTCAATGGAAATGAATCTGAGCAAAAACTGGGAGACAGTGAAGGACAGGGAAGTCTGCCATGCTGCAGACCACAGGGTCCCAAAGAATTGGACTTGACTTAGGGACTGAACAAAAACAACAATCTCCTAAAGAACCATCTTAACTTAGAGTAGAATTCAGTTTCCTTTTATGCTTAGAGAAAAGGTGAGGCAGGAGGGTTCAAGATTAAAGGGTCTTGCAACTACCTAGCACTCAAGGGAAGCATAACTTTACTTTGTTTTTCGGCTTGCTCACATAGAGTAGATCACAAGGCTCCAGTGAAACTTTAAATTAATAACAGTCATTTTATTTTACCATTCTTATCTCTACTTGTTTGCAAGTTTTCTAGACTGAAAGAGAACTACAAAAAGGAACAGCCATAATTAATCTGGGACTGCAGGATGGGAAATTTCTTAAGGGAACTTAATGAGTTATTTGAGCACAAGAAACATTTTTCTGGGCTTCCCAGGTAGTGCAGTGGTAAAGAATCCACCTGCCAATGCAGGAGACACTGGCTTGATCCCCGGGTCAGGAAGATCCCCTGGAAGAGGGCACAGCAACCCACTGCAGTATTCTTCCCTGGAGAATCCCATGGACGGAATAAACCTGGTGGTCTACAGTCCATAAGGTCACAAAGAGTCAGCCATGACGGAGCCACTTAGCACAGCACAGCACAGTTTAAAGCTGTAACTCTTGACATGCAGTGCCAAAGTGCTAAAGTAACAGAATACATAGGCTAAAGAATGAGCGAGGCAGTTTCAACACGGTGTTGTTTGACAATGAAGACATCCTCCTCAGAACCTAAAGAAATTCATTTGAAGTGTGATTTGTGGCTCATGATGAGGTCAAGAACTGAAAGGACACCAGTGATTCTACATAATTTCTGGCCCCACATCCAGTAAAAGTAATGCAAACTCCCCAACACAGCCATCCTGAAGGAGTGAAGCCTGAGGGAGAGTAGGGAGAGTCTTCCTAAACAGTGTAAATGTTTATCCTGTTTGTATTATGAGTCCTTAAGACATAGTGAAAGGGGAAAAGATGTTTGTGTGACCTATTGGAAACCCAGTTCAGTTCAGTTCAGTTCAGTCACTCAGTCATGTCCAACTCTTTGAGACCCCATGGACTGTAGCACGCAAGGCTTCCCTGTCCATCACCAACTCCCAGAGCTTACCCAAACTCATGTACATCAAGTCAGTGATGCCACCCAACCATCTCATCCTCTGTCATCCCCTTCTCCTCCCGGTTCAATCTTTCCCAGCATTAGGGTCTTTTCAAATGAGTTGGTTCTTCACATCAGATGGCCAGAGTGTTGGAGTTTCAGCTTCAGCATCAGTCCTTCCAATGAATATTCAGGACTGATTCCCTTTAGGATTGACTCGTTGAATCTCCTTGCAGTCCAAGGGATTCTCAAGAGTCTTCTCCAACACCACAGTTCAAAAGCCTTAATTCTTTGGCACTCAGCCTTCTTTATAGTCCAACTCTCACATCCATACATGACTACTGGAAAAACCATAGCTTTCACTAGATGGACCTTTGTTGACAAAGTAATGTATCTGCTNCTGCATACAGATTTCTCAGGAGGCAGGTCAGGTGGTCTGGTATTCCCATCTCTTGAAGAATTTTCCACAGTTTATTGTGATCCACACAGTCAAAGGCTTTGGCATCGTCAATAAAGCAGAAATAGATGTTTTTCTGGAACTCTCTTGCTTTTTTTCAATGATCCAGCAGATGTTGGCAATTTGATCTCTGGTTCCTCTGCCTCTTCTAAAACCAGCTTGAACATTTGGTAATTCACAGTTCACATACTGTTGAAGCCTGGAAACTAGCCACCTACTTTTTTGTATTGTGCATCTTTTTGCCCAATACATTAGAATCTTTGAATCTCCATGATTACTCCTGTCACTCTTGCCCCTTTTTGCAGCAAGCTTTTGAACACAGGTTTTGATGCTCTCTCACCCAAGCAAACCGAACCTGAGTCACCCCAGGCCCCTTTGTATACTCCGAGACTTTCCCTCAGGTTCTCCTCACATGCTTAACTCAAGCATGCACAGTCTGGAAATGAAGCCACACCTCCCACAGGGATTGAAGTCAATGGGATGACTTCCCTTCCTTCCACCAGAAACTGATGTGAGATGCATTTCTGTGTGGGTGTTTTCCCACAACCATCAGTTCTCTGACACATGTTGGATAACCTTAGAATTTGATGGTATTTACCTGAAAATAGCATCAGATATCCAGTTTAAAGACTCATCCCACAAGACTGTACCCGACTTCAGACCCCAATCACAAGTCTAGATTGTCAGCTCTGCTTCTAAATAGGGACTTCCCCAGTGGCTCAGATAGTAAAGAATCTGCCTGCAATGCAGGAGAACCAGGTTCAATCCTTGGGTCAGGAAGCTCCCCTGGAGGAGAGAATGGCTACCCACTCCAGTGTTCTTGCCTGGAGAAGTCCATGGACAGAGAAGCCTGGTGGGCTACAGTTCCTGGGATTGCCTTAATCACAAGTCTAGCTTGTCACCTGTGCTTCTAATTAACTCAGCTATAAATTGAAGGTTTCCATGACTCCCTCCTCAGGTTTGATTAATTTGTTAGAATGGCTTACAGAATCCGAGAACATTTTTATCACTAAATTAATTATTCACTCATTCCAAAGAATATTAAAGATTACAAATAAATACCCAGATAAAGAGATATATAGGGTGGTGTCCAGGTGAACCTTAAACACGGGAGCTTCTATCCCCATGTATTTTGAAGTGTTCAACTCTCATGACATGAAGATGTTTTCTTGTTCACCAACCTGGAAACCCCCTACAGCCTGCATTTCTGAGTTTTTATTGAGGCTTCATGACATAGACATTGTTGACTTAATCATTGACCTTTAGTGAATGATTCACCCTCCATCCCCTCTCTTCTGTTCTGCGGTTAGGGAGTTGGGTGTTTGGTGGAAGGGGCAGGACTGAATCTTTCAACACTATAACCACCTTGTTGATTCTGCTGGGAACCAGCCCCAGTCTGCTGGTTATCTAGTGCATGGTAAGTCCACCCAATGGACCATAATCCACCAATCCTTTCCAGGGATTCTCCAGGCAAGAATACTGAAGTAGGTCTCCATGCCCTTCTTCAGGTGATCTTCTGACGCAGGGACTGAACCTGTGTCTGTCTCCTGCATTGACAGATGAGTGCTTTACAACTAGTGCCACCTAAGAAGCCCCAGTGGTTACCTAGAGACTTTCCAAAAGTCACCCCATTAACACAAACTCAAGTATAGTTGAAAGGGATTTTTATCATTTGTAAACGATAGCCACTTCTTTTTGCTCTAAAAACATTTCAGAAACTGAGGACAAAATTTAAATATTATAACAAATGATGTCCTTATCAGTCTAGTCATCTAAGAAATTATAATATATATATACAATATCATACAGCTCCCATATCTCTGCTAGATGGAGCACTGATATTAAGAAACTATAAATTTATACTCTGACCAATAGCATGTGGAAAGGTATACAGTCTCACAATTTCACTAACTTTGGATTCTGTAGATCATTTTAGTCTTTGCTTGTCAATTATCTGATCACTAGTGAGTTTTAACACCTTTTGAAATGTTTTGGATACTATATGCTTTCTGCGCTAAATTGTCTTCCCCCTTTTTTCATTATTGTTCTTGCTGTCTTACATTTTCTTATTGCTTTAAAGGAGTAGTTTGTATATGAATCTATTTCCCTTCATTATTAGAAGTGATAAGTAATTTTTCCAATGGGATGTTTATTCCTTTGATATGATTTTTTTTGTTTCCTTCATAGTACAAAAGCTTTAAATTTTGTGTATTAAATTCCATCAACTATGTAATTATAACTCCTTATAGTCCTTATTTCATTCAACAAAATGAAACATTATTTTAACTTATTTTTTATATGCAACCTGTTTTGTGTGCTGGAGATGCAAGAACAAAGAAACAACGTCACCGTTTCACAGATATACAAGCTTATTAAATAAGCAAGCCTATAGAGAATGTAAGTTAAGAGAAGACAGGACCAATAGTCAATAGGATGAGGATGAGAGTGGAGAAGGTGACAGGAAGTCTTGAGTTGACATTCTAACTCTTCATAATGAAACGGGGGAAGGAGACACAAAATATGAGTGCGAAGGGCATTTCATGGAGAAAGAGCAACCAGTGCAAAGGCTTTAGAGGAGAAAGAATTTCAGATGGAAAATTGTCAGGTGTGGCTGAAAGGGAGTGAGGGAAAGTGTGAAAGGAATTTAAACCTGAGAGATCCTTAAGATCCAGGTGATGAGGGGTCTTCCAGATCCCAGGCAAATGTTGACTTTTTTTTTCATTTATTTTTATTAGTTGGAGGCTAATTTCTTTACAATATTGTAGTGGGTTTTGTCATACATTGACATGAATCAGCCATGGATTTACATGTATTCCCCATCCCGATCCCCCCTCCCACCTCCCTCTCTACCCGATCCCTCTGGGTCTTCCCAGTGCACCAGGCCCGAGCACTTGTCTCATACATCCAACCTGGGCTGGTGATCTGTTTCACCATAGATAAGCAAGGGTGGGATGTTTCCAGAGAACAGCATCAAACATTGACTTTTATGTTTTCAGACTATCTTAGTAAGTCGGAGGAAATTATTTTATGCCTAGATGCCTGAAATATGCTTAGAAATGGTCCTCCAAACACAAAATTCATTTTGTGTTTAATAGAGTTCTATTTTATGCTTATCTTTTCAATCCCTTCTACAATGTCTGTGTGTGTGTGTGTGTGTGTGCGCGCGCGCACATGATAGGACAAAGAAAGAATTATATTTAATATATCCCAAATGTTTATTCAATGGTCCCTCCACAGTTTATTTCAATTAGCTATATTTCTACTATTATCCTGATATTATACATTTTTCAAAAACTACATTTCTTATGTATATAAGTTTATTTGGCGAATATCAATTCTGTTCTTTTAATATTTATTTATGCATGATGCACCCATGGTGGCTCAAACAGTAAAGAATCTGTCTGTGATGCAGGAAATATAGGTTCAAACCCTGGGTCAGAAAGATCCCCTGGAGAAAGAAATGGCTACCCACTCCAGTATTTTTGCCTGGGAAATCCCGTGGACAGAGGAAGGAGCCTGGCAGGTTACAGTCACTGGGGTCACAAAGAGTTGGACATGACTGAGGGACTAACACTTTCACTTTCACAGCACACTTTCAGTAACTGGATTAATAGAATATTTTCTTAGTAGAGCAAGGAATATATCACTATTCCTTCTATTCTTCAAATTCAAAAATTTCATAGCTGTTCCTATACTCACTTTATCTTAAATGTCACAACAAGCCCATTCCTGCTACTCAAAAACAGTATCTTATTGGGACTCTGGTAGTGAGCTAGAGTTTAAATTAATGTCAGAAGAACTCACATTTTGTAGGACCAAGACCTCTATGCAGATAATAAGGAAAGGACATGAAGCACAGGGTTTTGGTATCTGGTATGAGGTCAGGTCATACTTGCTATAGGACCTGGTTCTTTACTTAGTGACTATGTGACCTTACTCAATTAACTCTCCTCTCTGAGCCTCATTCTCTTCATCTGTAAAACTATGTAATAGCACCAACCACATATGCTTGTTGTGGAGCCATATGTAGTGAGAGGCTGAAAAATAACATAGTGATAAACATATAAAAACTCAACAAACAGTAGTGTTTGTTTCTTTTTATGCACATAATTGTTTTATTTCTTCATAAAATTTTCTAATTTTCTTTTACTAGTATTTACACTAGATGTACTGCTATAACTGATACCAATATAGTGACTCAAAGGATACAAAGTTTATACAGGTGCATCTCTTCTGTAGGTGGTTGACAACCATCAGAAAGAGAAAAGAGAATGGTCAAAGTTGATTTTGAGGTTTCTAACCTAAGAAACTAGTAGAATAGAATTGTCATCAAGTGAGATGGGGATACTGAAGCTAGATAAGGTCTGGTGGAAAACAGGGTTCATTTTCAAAAACATTAAGTTCAGAAGATGTATTAGCCACCTGTATTTAAATTTGAACTAATATTACATGTAGAATGGCTTAAACAACAATAACTTTGTTTCTCACAGGTCAGACACTGGACCTGTGAGACAGATCAGTCTTACACCAAGGTGTCATCAGGTTAATTGCTGGTAACGTCTCTCTTCCTGGTTCGCAGATTGCCTTGCTCTTACTGTGTGTTCACATGGCCTTTCCCCTCTGCATACTGGGGGATAGAAACAGGGGGAAAGAGATGCAGATCTGGTATTTTCCACTTTCTTATAAG